GTGCCGCCCATCTCACAAAAAGTGACTCCACTTCATGTTGTGTGATGTCTGTTAATTCTTCTTCTTTTTTCCTGCCTACTATTTCAAGTCCTTCGCTGTGGACATCAGAGATCCTGAGGGAAGGAGGAATCCATCCAGTCCCCCTCAGGAGCTGTTTGTCAGGAGGATCTCTCAGGAAGATCCAAGTCAGGACACCTCAGGAGGTAATCGAAAGCCCTCCCATTCCCCAGAGAGATCCCAGCTGTCTCATCTTCTCTCTGTCTTCTCTTCTGAAGAATGCCTCCTCCTATTTTATTAATTCTGTACTTTAAAATTCTCTCTCCCTCACAGAAAAGACTCAAACGAAGTTGTCCGCTCTTTCTGGTAGAGCTGAAACAGTGGCTGAAATTCCAGCTCAGGTAAGAGGAGGAAATTTATCTATTAGATTTTTATTCTCCAATGCTTCAGGAAGTCAACCTGGTGTAGATAACACTCTCTCCTTCCATGTTTCCCCCTCTTTGGGCTTGGGTGTTTTCTTGTCCTTGAGCAACATGGAACGGGGAATGGAAGATTCAAGTTTCCCTCAGTCAACTTAGCCTCCTCTGAAGTCTGTGGTTGGGATACAAATTGGTTTGTAATTTCTCCCCTGAGATTCTTATTAGGAAATCTTTTTTTTAAACACCAGTACTTAACTCTCCTTCTGCTAATTACTCTTCCTACTATTAATTTATAATAACTAAGTTTTTTAAAAGTTCAAGACATGGGAATAATATTATTACACCCATAGCAACTGCTAAATATTTCTTCAGTCAAAAGCTTTTCGGTCTTTCCATTCTCTCACCTAAACCTTGGAATCCCGCCAAGCGTTGCCATTTAACTTAGTGCATATCTTTGCTTTGGGAATTTGTGGAGAATAGGACAGATCTTGCAAATCCTCCTGGGCCTGTTCTGTTGTTTTTTTTCCTTGTTCAGGAGGGTTTTGTGTCCTTCGAGGGGGTGGCTGTGTATTTCTCCGAGGAGGAGTGGTCTGAGTTGGATCCTCACCAAAAAGT